ATCCTAAAACCAAACAATTGCAAATAGAAGGCTCTCTGCAGGTTTGGAGACAATTTGTAATGGAATTCTTTTACTTTTTTGAATAGGATCAATGAATCCAAATTAGTAAATATGGCTGCATTAATTCTTTTGAGAGTAGTAATCTTGTATTTGTCATGCATGTTGAATTCTTTGTCAGTCTAATGATTTGTTGATTTTTTTGATATGTTGATTATGTCATCTAAAACTAATATCAATAATGCCTCTATTTCAAGTATCTAAACTTTTTTTCCCTTTTGTAGGAGTGAAAATAAGTTCTTTACTGCAATAGCAAGATCTAGGCCTTCCCTGTTTTGTGCTTTTTTTTTTTTTTTTTTTTTTTGGTGGCTGGAGAGTATGGGAATCCAAACCCTGACACTGGTGTTACTAACACCGTGCTCTAACCAACTGAGCTCATCAGTCAGCCTGCGCCTAATTTTAATGAAAATATTTCCATTTAGAATGATGTGTCTATGGGTATATTATTAATACTTTCATTTTTTTCCTTAACAGTAAAGTACCTTTTGAAAATAAAAAGTGCAGGTGCTTATTTGTGTTGAATTAAGATAACCCTATGTAGTTTTTCTTTAATCATTAAACACAGTCCAATCAAGTTTTAAACAAAATTATTATTTCCGTGTTGGTAAATTCAATAACGGATTCTCAGTCTCTATCTTACCATCAGTATCAGATACAATTGATGATTCTTTCTTTCTAGAACTTTTAAAAAAAATCTAACTTCCACGATACACTATCCTTCTTAAGTGAACAATGTTAGTCATTAGAAAAGCCTCCTTGGTTGAAACTTCTGCTTCTTTTCCAACTTACTGAGGCTTTTAGGGCTCAGTTACTGGGCTGCTCATCTTGTCTAAACATATTCACTTCCTTGGAAAGTTCATTCAGTCTAACTGCTTAATTAACATCTCTGTGCCAATGACTTCAAGTTATATCTCCAGCCTGGACACCCCCCCTCGAAATGTAGACTCATCCACACTCCTGTGCAACACACGCATTTGCCTGTTTAATAGAATGCTTTACCATAATACGTGTAACATGGACTGGGCTCCTGTTTCCCTTTATCCATTCCAAACCTCCACCTTACTCTTTCCTATCCCAAGGTTACAAAGATATTCTATGTATTTCTCTTAAAAATTTAGTTTTACCTTTACATTTAGATATATATTTTTAAAATTTTTAATTGTGGTAAAATATACATAACATAAAATTTACCATCTTAACCATCTTAACCATTTTTAAGTTAAGTACGTGTTCTGCAACCAAACTCCAGAACTCTTTCCATCTTGCAACACTGAAACTCTATACCCATCAAACAACTTTGTAGCCACCATCGTGATAACTGAGCATCAAACTTATTGATGCCAGGACCTCTTTAAACTATTTTTTTTAAAAAAAGAGCTTTCATTTCTGTAGGATTTATCTATCCAAAATTATAATATTAGAAATTAAAACTGAATTTATGGTGTTAATTTAAAATAACTGATAAACTCATGTGTTAACAACAAACGCTTTGCCCATGCATGCTTCTGTAACATCATTCATTGATCATTTGGAAAATAGTGGTTAGGTAGGTCTTCTAAATGGTGACATGTTGCAGTATGCAAGACAAAAAATCATAGTCATAATATAACTACTGAACTGTCAAGCTCACAGTAGAAAACACGTTTTTCGAAATTCTAATTTTTTCTTGCAAGCATCAGTTTTATCACTGGATATAAATACTGTTAGCTGTGTCCTTTGAAGTGACAAGCTTACTTCATTCAATTTCAAGAAAATATCTGTCAAATACTCAAGGCCTAATAACCACAGTTTGTCTGACAGTTCTTTCAAGTAAACATGGTGCTCTATGTAAAAAGTGGCTAGTTTGGCTCACAGTTCAAACAATTGCACAGAACTTTTTCTTGCAACGATCTTCATGCTTTGATAAGGAGCAGGGGTGCATGACACATACCCTCCATTTTATCACTCAGAATATCAAAAAGACGTGTACTTGTGGGTTGACATTCAATAAAATTAATTCTTTTTACTGCTTCAAGTCTTAAGTAAAACCAGCTTTCCCCCCCTACTTCTACTGTCAGTATATAGGGGTGAAGAATATAATGACAACCAACACAGTTTGGTGTCACTGCCTCAATTAGTGTTCAGGAGGCAGTAGTGTTACCCACTGTTGTTTTTACACATCTGTGCAAATGTCAACATGGTAAAAAAGACAAATAATGATTTAGTGTTATTATGAAAATAGTTCTGATCCAATGGACCCCAGACAGCCAAGGACTACATATTGAGACCCACTGCAGTAGAAGAATGTCCTTATTTGTAGGATATTCACTCTAAAATATTTAGGGGCAAGGGGGCATCATGTCAGCAACTTACTTCAAAAGTTTCAGGAAAAATAAAATTCTTTGTGCTAACAACATTTCTCTAAGTTAGAAATTGTTTTAAAAAAGATTTTTAAAAAATCTTTGCTGTATCCATTTTAAATTAAAGTTATATTTAAATTCCATTACTCTTTCGCAGCAAAATTCTGTATTAAAATCGGAATTTCAGAAAAATGAACTGTGTTCATTCTGTGGCTTTCGGTAATATTTGAAACATTGCTTAAAACCCTGGAAATAACTGTGCTCACGTTTGAGAAAAATAATCATGTTATATATTTTTGTGCACTATTAACTTTGGCTAGACTCTTGATACTTGTTATATCTTTTAATTTTCACAACAAATTTGATAGTATTATTGTCTCCTTTTTACAGAATATGAACATGAGCCTCAGTTTGTTTACCCAAAATTTACATAAATAAAGTAGAGAAAACTGGTCAGTGATTCTATAGGTTAAGCTCTTAACCAGTAGATTCTGATCCCTTTTGGAACGATATTAGATGTTGGCAGGCTGGATCGGAGACCCCTCTGCCCTGTCCTGTGCAAGTCATGAGTCAGGTAGTTGAAAAAAGATTCTGGTGGCTGATAGCAGGATAGACATGCCTTATTCCCACCCGAGCTCTGCTGGCTAGCGGTTAAGAGCCACTGTCTCTTATACTGAAAGGTACACAACAATGGCAATAAGCCAAGGAGTATATGGGCATGCATGCGTTGTTACACTACTCCTACATAACTTGCTTACAATGGATGCGCTGAGTCATACCCAGCTGGATATGAGGCAAGGGGGCTAACTATACTGACACTGTTTTCCTCACAGATGTTTATATTGGCATGATTTAAAAGGTAAATGTAAAGTTAATGAGTTTAGGTCATAGAAATGTTAACCAGCTGGATATGAGGCAAGGGGGCTAACTATACTGACACTGTTTTCCTCACAGATGTTTATATTGGCATGATTTAAAAGGTAAATGTAAAGTTAATGAGTTTAGGTCATAGAAATGTTAATATCACAAAAAAAAAAAAAAAAAAAAAAAAAAAAAAGACAAAAAAATAACATGTGAACTTATCCTTGTCTTTCTCCGGTACTCTTTTCCTCTTTGCAGTTGGTGACTGGGCTCTTCACACTTTCCTGATGCAGAGTGCTGTGTTGGTCACAGCTTTCAGGATCTTGTTCATTAGAGAATGTGATGTTAGAGACAAAAGTCCTCTTTTATAACGCATAGGGAAATCCTGTGTTTGTATTCATTTGAGAGCAGATTATAACATTAAAAATATAATTTGGATATGACTAAAAGCAATATTAGGCACTCAATTCAGACTCTTTGAATTTACTGTTAGCCTTTGATTTCCAAATTGTAAGGGAAATGAAAATGAATGGTCAGGCTCCCTCAGTCTTTCAGAATCTTGCTGAGCATGATTTAGCATGACCGTTGTAAACACGTTAATTGTGCATGTGCACCGAGATATTCCTGGGTTATCTGATTTAAGTATAAAGGACAAATGGCTCTGATACACAGTGACCCCAGGATGTCCCTGGGAGGCCACCAGGGGGCTGCTGCTGCTGCCGCTGCTGGGGAGACTGGGGGCTGAGCTTGCATCCAAATAAAGCATGTCAACCTTGCCAATGGCTCCCAGGATCTTTCCAACTACCTGGCTTGCGACCTGCATATGAGGGGTCTGTGGTCCAGTCTGCATAACGAGTTTGAAGGGTCTGCGACCCAGCCCAACACAAGTTCTCTTTAGAATTATATAGTTACATTCATGTTATGACCGATTCTAGAAAGTACAATAAAAAAGTTAGCTGGAACTTCTATTCCAACTGAGTATTGGAAAGTATATATTCATTACACATATAAAAATTATATATATGAATATATATGTATATAAAATGTCCTCTTGTCTTATAAAATAATTACAAGGTTTGAAAGGACTGAAGTAACTAAAACATTAATTTAGTAAGAATCAACAGAGATGGATTTGTGGATTTTCCTGATATCAAGCAAATTGGTTTTCCTTTGGGCCTCAGTCACCTAGGGATTTATGCTCCTGGTCAAGTCACTTTATTATTTCTGCTGTTGATTCTTTCAGCCAACCACATAGAAATGAAGAAATAATAGTCTTTTGATTTCAAATATGTACAAGGGTACTTCAAAAAGTTCAGGGAAAAAATAGGATTAAAGGATAATGTGAATCTTTCCCTGAACTTTTTGAAGTACACTTCTGTAATTCAGGCTATTCATATATTAAACGGAAACTTAGAACATCAACACTGACCATTATCTAGTAAAAAGTTTTCTACAATTTAGTATTTATTGAAAATATTGTGTGCCGTGCCAGCCTCCCAGATGATTTACCAGGCCCCGTGCAGACAGTTATCGGAAAACACTTTTTTCCTGATGTGCCTCTTTGACCTTCAGTGTTTGGGTAATCAGGAGAGTCGTAGCCTTTAGGTGGTTGACACTGTGATAAGTTAACGCCATGGGCTACCTTAATAAGTAGGAAAATGAAGGCAGCTGAGCATTTGATGCCATATAAAATCACTTAAGCCACTCACCACTTCCTCTTTCCTGTGAGGAAGTCCTGCCCAGATGAAGGTCTCTATGGCTTTAGAGGTCTTGATTCTTCTGGCTGCCTTTATTTGGCCTTGTGCTGAGAACTTCGCTGGTAAATGACCAGTTTTAGAGAATGCTTCTTTGAAGGGGTTATTCATAATGGTTGCTTTCCATGCGGGAACTCTCCTCCCTGCAGAGATATATCTTATCACAACTTGCCAGAAGACAAATACATATGCTCAGACCTAGGGGGATTGTCAATATATTGAGGACACTTTTTCTCTTTTCTGCTTAAATGTCTGAGTTCTCAGGATTTTTTCCCTCCTTTCTCTTTCATTCTGGTGTTATTTATTTATTTTTTTGCTCCTGGCCAGTATGGGGATCTGAACCTTTGACCTTGGTGTTATAACAACGAGCTCTAAGCAGGTGAGCTATCCGGCCAGCCCCTTTCATGCATCTTGATCCTCATTTGTAGAGGTTCTTTGTGAAGAGGTCCTTGGCTCAGCGTCTCAGTCTTCCTTTTTAAGCTCGCTGCCAATTACCAGGACTTGACTGTATCATATCTTAAGATACTTGGTTGTATCCTAACTGATCTTCCTGCTTCCAGACTCCTCATATTTCCACTTGATGATAATATGGCTCTTTTGTTCTTTTAGAAACATTGGTCTGACCTTCACCCCCGTCAAATTCATTAACAGTTCTGCATAGCCAGTAGGTAAAAGCTAAATCAATGTTTGTGCTATATACAGGTTAATTCCAATGTATTTTTTCTATTTTACCTGGAATCCAAATGCTTTCCAGCTTCAAGGCCTGACTAAATGTCCTCTACTCTAAGGCAGCATTTTAATGTTGCTTTTTGTGTATTTTTCTTTCTTTTTGAACATTTCTTCTGTTGTAAGTGGGGTCTTTTCTTGGAATAAATATATGAATTTTTTATATATTCATTTGGGCTGAAACCTTTTATGAGCAAAGACTACACATAGCTTCTGATACCTTTCCATTTTACCTAAGATGAATCTTTCCAAATGCCTAGATTAGTGCAGCTAACCATGCAGCAGTTAAATTACTGGAATGAACAGCACATGTAGAGAAAGGGCAGTGACCAGTGAATTCCATTTATCTGGGATGGGCTCACTTGGGTGTTCGGGCCCTAGCTGTAGTTCATGATGCTTGGGTGCAAGGAATATTCTTCAGTTAATGCATCCAGCAGCTATGTATCCTCAGGCTTTATCACAAATTTCTCAGGTGTTTGAGAGACCATCTCAATGTCAAACTGAAACTTGAAAAAGTAGTGTCAGAAGCATAGATTTCCTGTCTGTCCATGTCCATTTATACTTTTGAATCCATCTTTAATCCCAGCTGTTGGAACCTTTCTTCCTTCAGTAAGGATCTTCCTGATCATTTGTTCTAGGTAATCTTAGAATAATCTTTCAAACACATGGAAAAATGTGATTTGGAGGTTACCGTCACTGATACAGAGCACCTGCCTTCTCCAGCTCCACCTCTTCTCAAACACACATTCCTTATCTTCTTGATGATGATTTATCTGTAGAGGCCAAGGACTTCCAGGCTCCAATGTTGCTGAAGGTCTCTGTGGTCACTTGCTCATTAATCATATAAATAGTTTTTCATGCTGGTAAGACTCAGCTCCTTTGAATGAATCCATTAAAAATAATGATTATTATTGACTTACTGAGAAGTTCAGTATAGAGAATAAGAATGGGTTTTACAACAAAACTTTCATAAAACTTCCATCTCAGATAGTGGGTTTTCTCTCTTCAGACTATTTCCTCTTAAGGCTGAGATTGTTTCTGACTCTAGCTGCTCTAGATGTGGACTTTACTATATCAACACTATTCTTTCTCCTTCTGCCTCACCAAAAAGCATACTGGGAATATAGCTCCTGTTCTAATGGATTGCAATTTACTCTGTTCCTTCCACGTCATCCTATATTTAACCCTCTGTGGAATCTCATTTCTTTAGGAGGAAGCAAGGGGCCGTCCAATTATGTTTTTTCTTATCTTTGCATGTTGATTTATTTTTTTCCCCGAGGCAATGACTGAAATCTAGTTATTAGGGGGCATAATTCAGCTGATATTTTAGAGAATAGTGATAATACAAAAACCCTCTATAGGCTATCTTTTAAGCATGGTTACCCTTGCCAGAGAAAGAAATGCCTTTTATTTGTCATGAAGGATGGATCTGAATATTCTTTGGGCTCTTCCTTAAGACAGATACACATCTGATGCTTTCTCATGTTGTTCTTTCCACAGTGAAGATAAGTTGTTCCATGGACTGGGTGATGGTCTCGGTTAGCCCATATGCACACAACAGCGATCTGTATATATTCGCCGATGAATTGTCTTTGGGATTGGGCTGCCCTGTGACTCGGATACAGACATATATATATGATTTCATATACCCTGTTCATGATTGTGGCATCAGGACAAAGGTAAGAATAATGATTATTTGTAAAAATACTGAACGTTTTGTCACACCTTTATGCGTGGTGCTAAACTTTTTGCTTTTTTTTTTTTTTAAACCTATCTTTGCTTCTACTAGTAGTAATTTATGAATAGATGACTACAGAGTTCCTCACTTACTCTTCAGTGAATATCGGACCATTTTATGGGTACAGGACCTCAGAGCACAGATTTACAGACTAGTTAGGGGCCTGATTTTTAAGTCATCTTTATGCTACTGTTATATTTCACTGAAACCTAGCAGACAGTTTTAAATTTCATTTAATGCTCCTAATGTGGAAGGTCACCAATTCTGGGAAGGAATAGCATATTCAATGTTAGATCACTTGAAATCTACCCATGCTCCATGTATGTCAATGTGGGAGTGAATTTTCACTGGAATAAAATCTGTTTGCTATTTGGCTAAGCACAAACCTTAAAATGTGTTGTTATCCTGGGATATTATCCTCTCATAGATTCCCAAATATGAACAATTTGTATTTATGCTACACAAATATTTTGGGCCAATGAAAATTATAACAGTCACCTATGAATAAGGTATTGTTTTTATTTTAGAAATTAGAGAACTGGAGCTTCAGAAGGTGGTTTAACAGTTTGCCCAGGAATGCACAGCTAGTTGGTGGCAGTTTAGGTGCCAAATCGGTATGATTGCCCTCCAAAGCTTGTGCCTTAAACCACTCTGTTATTTGACTTCCCAGTCATCTTTCTCAAAAGGACTGTTGAAAGCCTTTTCATTAATGACCTGTATTGATGGCTCTAAGTGGCAGTTTAAGTTTGCTTCAATGTATTAAGATTCTGCCCTCCTCAGGCAGTTTAAATGCACTGTCCCAGTGAATTGTCAGACCTTCATATATAATCGAGTGACAGTGGCCATTTTGAGGTCTTGAATGTTTTCTGCTTCCTATTTAAGTGTGTGTATGCCTCCTCCGTTACCAGAAACTCCTTCTACTTAAACTTTGTGCTCTCCTAGGTTGTCTCAGAGGATATTCTTCTTTTTCAAACTGAGATATACTTTACCCCAAGGAATATACATTGTTACCGGCAGAAAATTCCTCTGGAGTGTTCTGCTTCTAGGTGAGTTCAGCAGGCCTGAATCCTTGGGAACAGTTTAGCTTCACCTTTAGTTATCAGAAGCTTCCACAGCAGCATAGATTTTAGAGAATATAACCTGACTCACTCATAAGTATAATTCCAAACAACCCCCAAATAAGCATTTACAAAAATATTTTAATAAATATTCTTTTTAATTTTTAATTTTTTAAAAATGTAATATTTATTTTAGAATAAAACATACAGAGTTGGAATGGTTCTAATAGACAATCTAGTATAACTAGGTTATTTTATAGTAACTCAACTACAAAGCAGTTATTAAATACTCAGTTACCTTTAGTAAGCAAAATAATCAAGCATCAATATTATCTTTTGATGTTTTCTTCTATAGTACTCTTCTTCTGACATGTTTTGCTGTTCAATTCCATGTTATGAAAGTAAGTGGCTAAAGAGTTGAGAGAAAAACCAATCCTTCATTTTAATACTAACTCATGGAGAAGGCATGAAAGGAAGGGTTTATCAGCCTAATCATTAAGTGCACTTTGCTTACAAATTTGTGGAACCAAGATACTGAATCCCAAAAGGGTCCCACATGAACTTTGAGGCTAAGTGAATGGTATTACTGAAATATTTAGTTATAAATCTGAGGGACAAATCTAAGAAACCACCTGAAAACCATAGAGAAATTCTATCCTTCCTTGGTATATGGAAATAGTTGGCATCAAAAAAGAAGAATTTACAGCTCAGAGCCAATGTGCCATATCTTTTAACATAATCAGGGTACCTTTTTTTAGGGGGGTAGGAGAATTTCTTTTTATTGTGGTAAAAATATACATAAGATAATATTTACAGCCACTTTTAAGTGGACAGTTCAGTAGCATTAATTAAGTAATTCACCTTGTTAATACTCTTGATTTTTCCTTTAACATGTTTTTATAAGACAAAACTGGGCTGAGGGATTTAGTGGGACTCTGGAGAGTAGCTGAACCCTCAATAGAAACCCAACCCTTGGTTCTTTCATCCCCCCCCCCCCCAACACACACACATATGAACACATATACATATATAGTTTCATTCCTGCATACAACCTGATGCCTAGAGTAATGTAGAGTTTTAACCTAATGCCTCAGAGCTTTTGCCTTTCCGTAGGCTACCAGTGATGAATAGGTATTGCTGTTTTGATAGTAATTACTATGTCATTCACAGCTTAGCTTCCCTGGAAAAAAATGAAGACTAGGCCAACAAAGGTATATGATTAGGTTTTTAGTGCATGAATTTTACTGTTGTATGCACACACTCACATTCACACACAGACCTTTACTACTACCACACTGGGTCAGATTAAACTTGTGGTGGTTTTTACTTACATTTCTTAGGATCCATTTGGCTGTCTGTTTTACTGGATACTTTGGTACTCTACTAACGCAGAGATTACAAATCATCGGAGAACATTCATCTTTCTATTCACTGTTTGATCCAGAAACCATAAGGACACTATCTATAGTTAGCTTTTCTATATGTGAATCTGTCCATATCCTATATCAAGAATCCACTATTACCCAGAAGGTACAATGTGCTGGCACTATGCTGTGCTCCTAAGTCATGGTAATGAAAATGATCTTGGTGTTAAACGGTGGTAAAAACAATTTGACTTCCAAGTTTAGACCCAGAAACACCTGGTATTATGTATGCCAACCCTATCTGATTTCTGTTTCTCTTTTCTTTAGGAAATCAGTATGGCTTACACCAGTTTCAACTGATAATGAAATTAAATTGGATCCTAGTCCTTTTATTGCTGACTTTGAGACAACACCAGAAGAGTTAGGATTATTAAATACTTGCCAAACTTTAGGCTCTCTCCTAAAGGAGAAGTGGGAGTTTGCGATTGATAAAATAAATTTTGTTGAAAACCAATGTTTTTTTAATAGAAAAAAAAATGTTAGTATGAATCTTTCCTTAGGTATCTGATTTATGAAAACCTTAATTCAGTAAAGACCCTGATCAATGAAGTTGTATTTTTAGATAATTTTATTTAATAGGGGTATGGCTTGTTAACTTGATATTAACTGTTAGGTAATTTCATATTTTCCATTTAAATTTTGTTTTCTGTTTTGTATAGCAGATTCACCAATATGTCCTCAATGACAATGATTTGATCTAATTCATGTAACCCTCCAAAAAATATGTTCTAACTATTTTTCAGTAAGAATAAAGAATAGAGATAGACCTGTAAATGTGCTAGAGTTGAAAGTTTGACACAACCTAAAATTCAGCATATCAACTCCCAGGAATGACAAATCCTTTTATGTGCAGATACATTAATTTGTGTGGGTTTTCCTAATTAGGGAATTCAAGTGCTAAAAATAATTCAATATGATAACATATTTGAATAATTATTCCAGAATGAAATTCAATTCATATTCTAGAATTCAAATAACCACTCCCTTAACTGAAATTTGATGTCAGATTCTCCTTTCTCTCTGGTGATTCTTCCACACTCAAAATAATTGATTGATTGAGGTGGTTAAGCATAGAATCATCTTGCCACTTAAGAGCAATTCATTTGATGGTTATTTATCACCATCTACATTATGCCACATTCTTTTCCTTAAACAGGAAGCTTGTCCATACAATATACCAAAAATCGTATTTGATTTTGGGAGATCTCTTTATCAAGTGTGGGAATTGAACTGCACCATTGGCTATTCAACTGCTTATTAAATGTACATTTTGAATGCTAATCTTTCTAAGAACAGATTGAGACGGGACCCATGGGACCCATGAGTGAGTGACTACAGGGCTCCCTCCACCCTACTACATCAGAGATACATGTTCAATCAATACTCAGGACTAATTAGGATATGCATAGGCATCTACTTCCATTTCTAGTCTGGATATCAATTTGGCAATATGTAAGACTCAGAGATGCTGAAGGAAGAGTTATGGTGAGAGAAGAAGTTGCAGGCCCAACGATGGTCCACTGTTAGCAGGGTGAACCAGCGGATCAGTGAAAGCATATGCAATCTGCTCCCTAAACCTACTTTGGAGCACCATGGCCATTGTCTCACTTTTGCTTTCCAAATCTCATGCAAATTTCTTATGTGGCCAACCCCAGAGCTGTTCAGGAAAGAGAATTCTAATAAATGGAGTTCCAGCTTAGTTAAATTGACCCAGGACAAATCTATGGTAAACATAAAATTAAATAATGCCATGAGTGGTAGTAAGTCGGAATATTGGATGCCACATGTGCTGTATGTGTGCTCAGAGGTGGTGCAGACATTCTAAGAGGTACATATGACAATCCTCAGTCAAGTTAATTATGTGCATATCCTATGGCCTACCAATCAGTGTTTTGATTATGTATCACATAAAAAATTCTCACACATAAAGAGCATCGGAATGAGAAGATTCCTGATATCAAGCTGGATTCCATGTGGGTGTTTATTACTGGGTTGGTGACTAGGTAAAAAGTGGTAGATGTGTCCGCAGCATTTGGAGGCAGAGGACCAGACATTTACATAGAATAAATAGGAATGGGTACTAATAACAGATCTGAGTGAAGAAAAGGAAGAAAATGAAATCTACAATGCAATTGCATGGATATATATTAAAAATGTGTATTGTAGAATGCAATGGTTGCCTTTGGTTGGGAGGAAAATGCAGATAAAAGGCAAGAGAGACATAGGAGAGAGATGGAACTAAAGAGCTGCAGTATTGTGCTTCAAGCCCATCTTACACCACAGAGAATGTAGTTATCAGGACGAAGTCCTACAGAAATTGCTGCCTGTGAGTGAAATCTGCTTATCTCCAAGCTAAGATTCAGTTTTCTCCCCTCAAGTAAAGTACTCAATAGAAAAGATAATCTTTCTTACAGAAATGTGTTTTTTTTTTTCCTGCCTCATCTCCAACCATCTAATTTTAAGATCTTTCAGATATACCCAATGGTTCCCCAGTCTGACTTCACATTAGAATCCCCTTGGGACCTTTTTTTGAAAAAATGTTCATGCCTGGTCCACTCCAGAGATACTAATTTAATGTCTTATAAACTCCCCAGAAGATTCCACTGTATAGTTGAAAGTAGAACCATTGTGTTAGTGTTTTCTATCTAATCTATTTCTCTGTTTTGCAACAAATGTCATGATAAATTCTTCTGCTTTTCTGAGGAACTCTAAAAAAGGAATGCCTTCCTTCAAATTCTAAGATTAGATCTCTAACAACTCAATTTTTCCTCCTTTATCTGAAAAACAGCATGAGGTCAAAACAGGAGAGAATCAAGGCCAGTTTCTAATGAATTGTTGGTTTTATTTTATTCGATGGCTCACTATTTCAGGACACTGTAACAACAATCCTTGTCCATCTTAACTTTTTTTTAGTCTTAGAATTATAGTAAATCATGCCTTTTCTGGCAGGGCATGATTTCAAAGCAATGACTTAAAAACTGGCAAAGTTAGAAACCATTAAGCTATAAATCGAACACATTTAACACATTCCAAAGTCAAAGACCTTAGGTGCTTAACAGTTTGGGTTTTTTTAAATAAGAATTTATAATAGATACAGTCTCAATAGTATAATTTTAGTATGTGTGCATATGGGCATGTGTGTGTTGTGTGTTGGGGGGGGTAAAACAAACAGTGTGAGAAATTTATTACTTTTCAAATAGCCAAATGGGGCATTTGTAAGTAAATGCTGAATTATTGATTAATTCATTCAAAGATTTTTTTTTCCCTTTTTTTGTCTTTTTTCGTGACCAGCAACGGATCGCAACCCTCAGTGTCGCGCCCGTACCGGACCAGGACCGGCAACGGGATCGCAACCCTC